CGTTTAATTTAATGGGTCTACCATTATTTGACACCGATAAACCTGGATCACTGAACTCGAGCTGTTTATCCGGGTTTATCCAGCAGATGCACAAAATGAGTGGCGCTTGCGCCCTCCGGTGTCCTTCGACAGTATTACATTTGTAACATCAACACAACATGTAAGCATTTTCCCTGTCTATCTTTCCTAAACCGAGACGCTAAAGAAGTTTCTATATAGAATAAATCACTAACGTTTTTTTTTTTTATTACAAAAAGCTGTCGTCAAAAATGGCAAACAAAAAGGTTACCAACGTGAATGCAACTTATTACAAATAACGTATATTGTTAGCTACTAGCAATTCCTTACAGTGAAGACTAACACATCCGAACGCGTTCTGCGCTAAAAACGTCTGTGTGCGCAGAGAAATTCAGCCATGTCTTGCTCTCGGGATGCGCCTTTAAGGATTCCTCCTCTGGCTTTCCTGAACTGACCTCTTCCCTTTGAAACCACTTCCTCCCCTTCTCCCAATCGGCCATGTTTAATTTGACTCATTCATGAAAAGTTGTACACACAACAGTAAAGCCATGATCTCGACAGCTACATAGTAAGGATGCACCGCCGCGTTGTTTGTACAGACTGAGCATTAATCAGCAGCAGTGGGAATAAAGAATAGCGCGTGAGGCATCGGCAGGTGGGCACGTGCACTTATCAAATTCACATCAGTGGCGTAGAAAGAGTAGCATTTAATACAACAATCATTCATAACGTTAGCCTGCTCGGTGCGTGACTGAGAAGGGTTAGTTCGTGGGAAATGATACGTCATGCATAATTTCTCCGAATTCAGTATAGAACGGGTTTTTTTTTTCAATGCATAATGTAAGTTTTGTATAATGTGATAGTTTTTGCTCTAAAGGCCCAGAATATCAAAGACTGTAAATCCTCGCACTGACTGGTTTCCTTAAAAAGTCCCTTTATATAAAATTCTCGCATTTTATCGTTTATAAACATGTCTAATGTAATAAACATTATTATATGTCTGTTAAACATAACATAAATGCTTCATAATAGCCTATACTATGAAATACTGTACCTTTGAAAACATTATTAAATGTAGTGTTGTTATAGGAAATCATGAGGAAAAAGCAGAATGTGAAAAACAGGAAGGCAGAAGAGACAACGGTTGTCCAAGAGTTTGCGGTGGAAAAAATCATCCGCAGAAGAGTCAACGATGGAAAAGTTGAATACTATCTAAAGTGGAAAGGCTTCACAGAGTGAGCGTCTGGAACAAATGTTGCCTGTGTGTCAGATATTTATATTATTAATATGTACCAGCATATGACATGTCTGTCGTACTTTCCACAGTGTAGAGAATACCTGGGAGCCAGAGGACAACATGGACTGTCCTGAGCTGATAGAGGAGTTTCTCAGAAACCTCACTGTCTCAGGAGAGACAGAACAAGAGGGGTGTCAATCCCTAGACCATGAGGTCCAGTCCAAGCAAGAGTTAACTGAACTAGATGCCGATATGGTTAGTGTTTTTATATACTGTACATATGCAGTGCCATTCACTTTAACTTCTACAGGACTATTACTGCACTACAGTGTTTTAAAATAAGCATTTTATACCCCAAAAATACATCAATAAATGTAATTATGTTAGGTAACAAACTGCCAAATACTTGCCATAATATGAATAACTGTCAGTGCATTGTATAGAGCAATGGGGTCCAATCCTGCTTCTACAAGCCCAGTTTCCACAGAGTTTAGCCCTAATTAAACACACCTAAACCAGCTAATCAAGGTCTTCAGGTTTGTTGGAGAAGGTGGAGCTAAACTCTACAGAAGGCTGGTCCTCCAGGAGCAGGATCGAACACCATTGGTACAGAGTTTCAGTCCTGTACACCCTCTCCAAAAACTGCAGGTTTATCGCTCTTGCTGTGTGATATATAATTCAGTCCTCTTGTCAGGCTTTATGATAGTTTAGTTGTGTGTCTGGAATTCATGCAGGCTCACCAGCAGCCTCAGGAGGAGCTCATTGAGAGGGGTAATGAAGAGGTTGATGATCACAACGCTGAGATCCCAGCAGGCCAATCCAGCAACCCTGAACCAGACGGCATCATCGGATGCACAGACCAACAAGGAGAGCTAATGTTCCTCATCAAGTGGTAATATTTCTACACTGGACCATATGTGGAGATTCTTGTTATTCTACACTGCTTTGTCTAGTTTGAATGCAGTAATGATAATCTTTATTATTAAATTCTGTGATCAATGCATAGGTTTTTTTTTTTTTCAGATCATGCATTGATACACACCTTAATGTTAACTTAGCTTTTATAGTCCACATCACAGCTGTTTAAAATAGCAACAGCTGATTAATATAGCAGCACATTGTTGTCAGGTTCTGAAATTTCCACAATATCAGGGTTATTATAGTTCACTAAATCTAAAACCATAAAAACATAATTTTCTTTACTTGAAATAAAATAAACAATAACTGAAAACTAAATTTTTTAATTTTAAGTTAGCTGCCAAAGCAACATTTGGCATTATCATTTAGTTTAACATGATGTAGTAAAATAACTAAAACTGAAATAAACATTAATAAAAAAAAGTATGTAGACCTATAAAAATGACAAAAACACAACAAAGTTACTAAAACTTTAACTAAAACGAATAGGAAAACAGAATATACAAAAATAAAAAATAATTAATTATAAAATAAACTATAATAGTATCTCAATGACACTAAAATAATACTATTATTGTTATTTTAGTATTATTTATATACTATTAAAATTATTAATGTTTTAAATTTGCTTTTATTTTTTATATCTTAATTTTCTTTTCTTTTATTATGTGTTTTTGTCTTTTTTTTTTTTTAGATGTTTGGTTTTATTTTAAATTATTTCTATTTACTCTTAATTTATTTAATATATATATATATATATATATATAAATTGCGTTTCAATTCAAGTAACTTAATAATTTTTAATAGTTTTAGTTAACTAACAATACTGTACCGTTTTAATACTGGTGCCAAGGTATTCCTTTCCTTTCATGTTTATGCTCTTCTTCAACACATAAATGGAGAGAAAGATCAAAAGCAACCTCACAGCAAAAAAAGAAATAGTTTGCGATGCTGTTGCCATTAATCCACCACTGCAGCTGGTAATTATGTGCTTTGAATTTGCTGTATTTGTCCATTAAGACTGATCATTATTTCTTTATTTCATCTCAGGAAAAACACAGATGAGGTAGCTTTACTGTCAGCCGGAGAGACCAGTAAAAAGTGGCCCGAGATGGTAATTCGTTTTTACGAGGACAAGCTGACCTGGCATGGAGAAGACGAGCAGTGAGAGAGAAATATGTAGCAGTGGATACTACTGTACCTCCTGGCAGCTTTAAACATACACAAACACTGTGGCATAAGTTTACTGTTTGATATACCGTGTATTCAAAATGTGTGAATCCACACTCCAATGTGAAGCTCTTCCCAACACACTAACCTGTAGAAATGTGACTGGAGTATTAGAGCTCTACTGTAGTGTACTGTTTATACAAGTCCACTTAAGTTGTTTATTAATCAGATGTTGTTGTATCTCTTGGTCTATTGTTTGAAAGTTCATTTGTGATGTTCATCATTCTGTCCTCTTTGTTACTATGATCTGAACTGTGATTACACAGGAGATGATGACAGATGGTACAATAACTGCTGGAGAGGGACTGTTTGATGTGTAGATTACTATCCGTACTATTAACCCCCTGGTTACGCACTTATTCAAGTTATACTGTGATGGATCCTGTGATCTGCGAGTGGCGTAGTATGGCTCATGCAGGTATAAATCTAGGTTTGTACAAAACTAATTCTAGAATGTAGCCCACACAATCACGTTTTTTTGTGAACATCAACACTTTTGTTGTAGGTCAGTATCACTTTCATAGCAGTAGTGCAAATAGACCATTGATGTTTTGAGGTTTTGTGATTAAAACCTTTACCCTGCAGTTTCGATCGTCTGGTTTCCTGTTTTCTGTAAAGATCACTGTTAACCTTAAATCTCGAGTGAGCAAACTCTAGGTGCTTTAAATAAACATAAAATTACCTCAGGAGTGTTTTGGTCATTCTTCTGTTGAATTGCAGTCGTCTTAAATCAAATAACTGTAATTACGGTACCTTTAGTACATTACATTGTAGAAATGAGGCAACCTTTTTCTTAGTAGATTGTCCTTTTAAATATCAAAATGTTCATGATTAGATTTTAAAATAACCAATCAGTGTTATTTTAGAATGAGATACTTTTTACAGTTTTTTTTATTAAATTTGGAAAATCAAATAAAAATCTTTTTACATTTATTTTAAGTTTTAGGGGGGTTTATTTGTCTTTTTTTTTTTTATATGTCTATACATATATATATTTTTTTTTTATATATATAAAAATGAGAAATGTTGCATTGGAAATTAGCTGAAATGAAATAAGAATTTTTATATTTATGCATGTGTGTATTTATTTATTTACATTTTATTTCAGTAAACATTTTATTTCATGTAATGAACATTTTTTATGGTTTTAATTTTTTGGTAAATACGATAACCCTGTAACCTATCAGTAATATCAAGAGGTTTGAAAAGCTACAGGTCGGCTGTACATGAATAACTGTTTAAGTACCGCTATAGTTGTTTCAAACATGCGGGTGTTATGATTATGGTACCCATTTTTTCCAGCTGCTTTTTCCTGCTCCTTTTATTTTTATGACGGTGCTAGTCTGCCATGTCTTTGGTGGCTTTTAAAAATGAAGCACCGCTGTCAGTCAGAGACACAAAATGAGCTCAGTTGTTTTTCCCCAGTCTACAGTTCCCATGAATCAGCCCCAGTTGGTCAACAAGACCAATGTCTCATGAAAATACTTCCTTTTTATTCTTCCCATTTTTAAAACCTCTGAGTACTGGCTGTGTGTCCTTGTCCAATGTGAGTTTGTGAGCGTATATACATAAGGTCTTTTCCACCGTTCTTGGACTTATGCAGGAATTCACTGGCGTGTGGGTGAGGGATCCTTGCATCCAGAAAGAGGATTTCTGGCATGCCTACATGGATTATGAAATCTGTATACATGTAAGTGCAATCAGAACATATGATACATGCAAAGTGGTACAAAATGGAGGGCAGAAACGTCCTGACCGTTCTTTGTATTTCATATTCACTCAGACAAACAGTTTGGCCTTCACTAAGAAGAGTTCCTGTGTGCGGCGGAGATACAGTGAATTTGTTTGGCTAAGAAAAAAGCTACAGGAAAATGCCATGCTCATGTATGTAACCATTGCATCCTGTTATTGTTATTTACTTTGTTCAGTAATTGTGCACGGATGGTTTATGGTCAATGGTGTAAAATATGTCCTTGAAAATCAAATTTAAGGTTCTTAGACATAAGTATATCAATTTCATTGATATTCTTCATTATGCATTATAATAACTGGACAGTTATATCACCCAGACATTTTTTTTATTTTGTCACAGAAATTGATCATGATCATCATATAGAAGGTGTACTGAAGTCATTGTACATGTGTGAATTACATTTTATTGTATTTAAAAAAAAAAAAAGGAAAACAAGCGTCACAGCATTGACCCAATTTGTATCCCTGCTAATATAAATACAAATAGAAAATGTATTGCTATTTACAAATTACTAATTGTTGCTAATTAATAGCGGTTGTTTTAGTATTATTTATATACCATTTTAGTATTTATAAATATTGATTAATTTGGCTTTTTTTTTTTTTTAATTTTCAGTTTTAATTTTATTCATTTAATTTTAGTAATTTTGTTGTAATTTTGATCAACCTAACCTATTTAATTTCAGTTAAAGTTTTTCATCTAATCATTTTTTCCTTTATTGGTCACACTTTTGTTTGGGGACCAATTCTCAATATTAACTAACTATTAACTTTAACTTTTGGCTCAATAAGCTCCTAATTACTGCTACGAATTCTTAATATTTAAAGGTAGTTCTAAGGTAGGTAGGATTAAGGGATGCAGAATATGGTCAGGCTGAATAAGGCATTATTATGCGCTTCATAAGTACTAATAAACAACCAGTAGCTATGTTTACTAGTAGGCTAGCAGCAATATGCATGCTAATAAGCAACTAGTTAATAGTGAGAATCGGTCCCCAGAGTGTTACCATTTTATGTTATTTTGGCTTTATTTTAATAAACAAAAACGTATTTTATAGTTTTAGTTAACAATAACCATACTACCATATTATGCAATTGTGTTGTAGACATATTAAAGTTTCAGTTATTATTGGGCAGTTTTCTATGAGACAAATAATAACTGGACTTCTATGGTTGTCTCTGAATTGCAGAACACATCTACCCAAGCTTCCTCCAAAAAACCCGTTCTTCAGTCTCAACAATGCCAGAGAGATTGGAGCCCGTATGGGAGGGCTCAGGACATTTCTAGAAGAGTAAGTATCATAATAGGCCTAAAGAACATGTTCAAATAAAACATAAAACCATGACTGAAAGAACACATTTACTGTAGCTTAAGAACATGTGACATATCTCAGGTACTGCATCTCTTAACTCTCCCAAAAAAACACAGTAACTGAAATGGTTATGGTTTCTGTGATCAATTACTGTATATGCTTCCATCCTCGAGGGTGGTTCACAGCTCGGTGCTGCTTTCCGACAGCTGCTTACATCTCTTCCTACAGTCCCAACTAAGTGTGAAAAAAATCGAGGCCTGTGCTGAAGGCCGAAGTCGCTACACTGTGTCTGAGGCCATTCACAGTTTTGGCTCAGGAAACAAACGCTTTGAATCTCAATCTGAAGAGAACATGGAAGAAGAAGAAGATATGCACTGTGAATCAGAGCGACTGATTATTTGCTAATAAAATGGAGCCAACTTACAGTAGGTAGGCTACTAAATGCATGCCTAAAGACATTGCTGAGGCAGATAATATTCAACATTGAATATTTCAGCCCATTCTTGAAGAAGGACAATGAAACATGAAAAAAGTTACTGTCATTATTGAAACAGTGTTGTTTTGTCTCGCACTCATACTTTCTGAATCTGTATTGATGAAGATAACCTAATAAATTATTTAAACCACGTTTGTTGGTACATTAATGTCTTCCATGGAAATCAAATTAATGTATAAAAGCATAATCTGGCCTGTGTGGAAGACAGTTTGTTGTTAAAACTACAGATGTGCGCTGAGAGGTTTATGAGAGGGAATTTATGCTTGCGTGTGACGTCCCTTAAACGCAATAACCTAATAAGCAAACACAGAGCATTAATACATTAGGTGATTTAAACCCGACCTCACAGAGCTAAATCCTAATAATAATCTCTTCTCAAGCAATTTTATTGCCATACTTAGCCATAAAAGATCATTGTCTGGATGTCATACAAATTGTGCCCTCTCATAAATATTTAGCAATGGTGTGAGGCCAGACATGACCAGCAGATGGCACCGCAGCTCTTCTGTCTTTCCATGACTGACGGTCTCATGCCTGCAAAATCATGAACATTCATCAAAGAGAAAAAAAACCTCAAAGCAAGCAGTATTTCCCCTTTTTCAAATCATCCACTGCTTTCACAGGCTTTGACTGGGACATCAAATCATCAAGACATTTCAGAACAGGAGTGTATCGCCACAAGCAAGCAGTTTAAGCCATTAAAATAAGGGCCACAAGCATTATCCAATCACCTAAATTAGCCTATATCTGAAATCATCAAGGCAAAAATATATTTTAGGCCACAACAAAGGGTCATGGTGTGGTGGCTGGTTAGTATGGCACCGTCAGAGACAATCATACAGTATATATGATTATAGGATCAAGTTAATGGGAGAAATTGTAACGCTCAATAGGCCTACTGCGCTGTAGTCCCGCGTTACAGTTTAAAAAGAACTTATCACATAATCGAAGTATATAGAAGAATAGAAGTGTCTCTTATAGATATAAAAGCGCTAAATCGCCTTTTACATAAAAACATAGCCTGTACTCTTCAACGCACATGTGCACAGTAAAAATATTACTTATAAATCCTTGTCTGCCGGTAGAGATATAACCAGTCAATAAAAATGTGTTCTAAGAACGCTTGTCTAATGTTCCCATTAAGTTATGAAAACATTATTTCGGAATGTTCTCTTAACGTTCAAAATGTACAGTTTAAACGTTTTAAAAACATTTTTGTTGCTTTTACGAATGTTAAGAGAGCATTCAAGTGTATCATTTTGCAAACATATGGGAATGTTACAATTGAATGTTCTCGGAACGTTTTGAAACAAGTAGTAACAACAACAAAAAGTTAGACGAATGTCCAACTAAAACATTTCAGAAAATGTTCTATGAACGATGTGTAAATAGGCTGTGTTTTGTTTTAGTTTTTGTGTGTGTGTGTGCTAGAAGAACGTTTCTCTTTGAGAGAACCTCGTAAGAATGTTCTAAGGATGTTCTCTGTTAGCTGGGTATCAAGGTAGGCTAATCATTTTCATTTTAGCAATGTTATGTGTGTTTTCTTTCATTTGTTTACAATCAGAACTAGCCATTCATGAATCAGTCAGTTTTGCAAAAATGTCTGAAACTGTTTGATTTATTCACACAAAGCTCACGCACCAAAGCGGTTTCTCATATTATAACAAGATTGCTCATGATGATTGCTAATGATGGTGCTAATATTTCATTAAAATAGATGTTTTACCAATACCCACATATTTTTGTTGGGCTTTTAAACATGTGAAATTCAGATTATTAATCATTCTAAATTATTTTGGGTTTATTTTACCCAGATCTGGCAATACCAATGGCATCAATTTGAGGTGGAAAACCTGTTTGGAAACCATCATTTCTACAACCATCTGATGACCCTAGAGGCACAGAAATTACACACTTCAGCTTAAAGAAAGTCACACTGACACTTTCACTAAAAAGAGATTCCCTTGCCCCATCTCTTCCTGTCTTACTTGTACCTCTCACACTGCCGGCAAAGACTCATATGTCTTTGAGTCGCCCAACAGGTTGAAATGTTCCTCTAATCGCCTGCCCCCTGAACATCACTCGCCACGGCTCCCTTAAGAACCCTGACGGCCAGCTGCTGCTGTCTCTCTAACGATGGAGACCGTCTTAATAGGCTCTGCACACACTCAGCTGCCTGATAGCAGTGCTGGCAGCACCGGGCCTGAGACTCCCACTGGACGCACAAATACCAGTAAAAGAGGCTGGAGGTGTGTATGCGTCAAACAAGCCACTCTAATGGTTGTATGGGGGCAATACCATGTTGACAGGCAAAGTCCCAGTGCAGGCTGCTGTGTTGGTTAATGTCAGCGGCCTGTCATTCTGTCCACCTTCCGAGATGACGTGCTTGGCCCTTGCTGTGGCATCTTCATGAGGTGTATTATTTATTTAGCAGGCCAGTCAGAACAACTGAAAGGTGACATTTGAATTATACTGTATACAAAGCGTCTGTTTTTCCGTGAGCTCCTTCAGCTGTTTAATCCAGTTGTGAATCATGTTAGTACACCAGATAAGGAAACCAGATAATAACCAAAATTGCCTATTGAGCCAGGTAGAATATGAAAAAACATTTAAAAAATACCTTTGCAAAAATTCACTAACGCTCTTAACACTGTGTGATGCAAGTAAAGGACATCATGCCTTCAAAATAAAAGAGCCAATCGTTTAGTCTTTACAATTTTTTTTTATGTTATTGAAATGTGAGTTTTGCAAGCAGCTTTTTGAGTTTTTTTGTTTGTTTGTTTCTCACTTAATTAGACAGGAGCTGTACTTGCATGAATGAAAATAGCCTGATTACATTTCCAAGTGAAAAGGTTGCTTAATTGCTTTGAATGTGCATTTGTAGTGTACTTCAAATATTAAAAGTATATTTTAAAAAAAAAACTGTACTTGCAGATAATCTAATATCAATAAAATAATTTCCTCTTAAGTGTATTTTCATGTTTTCCTTTAAATACATTTTATACGTTTGTGCTCTAAAGAAGTATACTCGTTTTGTTGGGCTAAAATACTTTTAGCACAAGTACTTGATTTTAATTTTAATTGCACTGTGTTATTCAATATTATATTTAAAGTTAATACATAGTAAATGTAATAAATTGCAGCTTCATTACAAATATGTAATTACAAATTTGCTTAAGTTCATGAAATGCACGTTTTAATAGAAAGGGCATTGAAGTATATTTTAATTTACTATATTTACTGAAATTCTTTCAGTAAATTTGGCAGCACTCTTTAACCATACAGTATTTCAAAGACATTCGAAGTAATTATGAAATGACACATAAAGATGTAAGTTCAGCAAATTGCATTTAATATAAATGTAAACTTTAATACATTTTCATTTAATTGAAATTAACGTTCAATTAAGTGTCCGAATAAGTTCAATGTTATTTCTGTAATAAGTGTTCTTTTTAAAAGTACGCAAAAGTGCAAATCTTTTTTCACAAGGGTGTACACTGAACATGAATGTATTGTGCGATGAGACATAGGCTACTACTTTTTTGACATACGAAATTCTGGATTGCTACAATGACTAATTTGCACAACATTTCGTATTAACGTCCTTTTTTGTATAGCTTTTGCAGCTTGTTGTTTTATTGTATTGTGTGGTTTGGAGAACCCATTGTAACATTAAATCTATTTTAAGGTCTGATTGTTTACTAAAATTAGTCCTCTTTGGGAAGCATTTCTTATTGAACCGCCTTGTACACCATCTGTAAAGACTGCTAAAGGAAGCTATGCTAATGTCATATGCCTTTAGCTAGAACACGTCTGACACATTTGCTACATTAATTAGATTACTGTGTCGTCTGGAGGTGAGGGTGATATTCATTATAAATTCATAATCGGGGAAACAAAGGGCTCCCGACTGCATGAATGACAGGTAAAGTCACCTTTGGACCTCCTCTACTCAGCATAGACCAGCGAGGGCGGTAGGGAGCACACCAAATTGGGGTTGAGAGGACACACTGCTGAAGCTGTCTTATTAAACCACACAGGGTTTGTCGAGTTGTCTGTGATGTGTGAGGGAGAGAAAGAGAGAGAGAGAGAGAGAGAGATAGAAATTGTGGGTGTGAATGCAGAGAGCACAGTGGGCATGAGTGTACCGTATGCATTACCCCTCCCATCACTTTCACACATAGCGGTAATGAAGCTGTCATGGCCGCCAGCATGTGGACATGGTTGATATTCAAATGAGAGCGCCGTTCACCTGCTGAATACAGACCAGTCCAATTATGGGCTTAGGGCAGCGACCAGGTCGAGGAAAAGGGCAGATACACTGTTCCACTGGCGTTATTTCCAGTCTGGAAAAGATTTTTCATGGAAAATCACCTTGCATGACGTCTAGAAAACTAACTATGGTGAACGCGATGTTAAAGGGGACATCGGATGCCAAAGTTGGTATGATTCTTTAGGGTCTTCATGAAATGTCTGCAATATACTTGATGTCATACTGCTCAGAAAATCAAAATAGCTTGATAATTGAGACTGTTTAGGTTTTTGGGGGAATAAAAAAAAGGAGTGAATGGATTTTTATCATTGTAGGGTGGTTGTGTCCATGCACTGCTAAGACACATTTATATGCAAACACCAGGTGAATTTTGCATCCGATGTGATCTCAGATGTAATACTGACACCTAGTGGCGTGGATGTACAGTAGCCCCTCACAAAAGCAACTCTTTTACATTTGCTATTGTATACTCTATTCACAGGCAAATTTTTCACCCATGAATGAATAGTTTTCGCAACTGACAGTTTCTGATAACAGGAAGGGTTGGCGAAATATTGTTAATAGTATTCAGCTGGTGGTGTGATCTCAAAAAGGCGGCCTCCGTGAGGTGACTTACTACAGTACATTTGAAATAAA